CTCACCTTGCGAGACGGCGCCAGCAGCTGCTGCTCCCGGAGCTTCCACAGCGCTCCAGGACGGGTGTACGCGAAGAAGGTCGTCGCAACCTGGAGGGCGGCGGCCCGCTGCCTCCGCGCGAGCATCGTGGAGACTGCTACTCCCAGGAGCTCGCGGGGGACGGGGGCTCGGGACGCCAGCGGCCTGCGCTTGGCGTAGTCGCGGAGCCCCCTGTTCACGCGGGGCATCGACTGCGAGCCAGTGCACCAGGGGTTGGCGTCCTTGACGGCGGCCACCAGGATGGTCGCGTCGGACTTGGTGCACTCTGCCTCCAGCATGAGGTCGAAGAACTGCTGCACGCGGACCTCCATGTCCTCGATGGTCGTCGGCACGCTGCCCTCCTCGCCCACGAACTCGCTGAACGCGTCGGAGCATGCCTCGTAGCCGACGCGCGCCCCGGCGGCCGCCGAGGCGTGCTCGCACATGGAGAGCGCCACGGACTAGGCCGGGCTGCTGCGGCCCAGCTCCAGGGACTTGGCGAGCCGCGCGCGCAGCCAAGGGTGCTGGGCCACCGCCGCCGCCGCCGGCCGCGCCCGCGCGGGCACCATGGCTGGACTCGCCGAAGGCCTCCGACACGTTGCAGGCCGCATGGCGGGAGTCCGCCCGGCGGCCAGGGGCGGGACCCGCACCGGCGGTCCGCCCTCGGCTGGGGGGCCCGCCAGCCGCCGCCTCTCGGGGGCTGTGGACGCGGAGCTCGGCAGGGCCGCGCGGGCCGAGCTCCCCCGCGGCAGCCTGGCCGAGGTAGCGCGCCCAACCGCGCTCAACGGGCCCAGCTTGCACCAGAGAGAGGCCCTCGAAGGACCTCGAGGCTTCCTCAGCTGGCTGCCATTCCGACGGGATCCAGCGGAAGTGCGGCCCGATATTCGCGGATAGAGTCAGAGCCGCGAGGCGACGGTTTAGCTGCAACATACAATACGATGGAGACCGACCCCTATCGAAACAGCAACAGACCCCGACATTGTCTGGCAGGAAGAGGTGACGATGGTGGTGATGTTGGGGGTTCTTGGCCAGACGACGCAATGCCCATATAGTAGCCCCCCCCTCCATCAGCCCGATGTGTTCGATGAACCTGCACGGTCCCTTGTAGAACACTCCCCACACCTCCTTACGTAGTAGATGACGAGGGACCCCGGGGTACCCCACTCTAGCCCAACCCTCGATGACGTCGTTCGCGACGACGGTAGCGAGGTCGGTGATCTCGGGGAAATCGTCGAGAGCTCTTCTACGGGGGGGCCACTCTTCGGGTTGGAGGCGCCTGAACCAAATTTGTCATGCCACTTTCCAAGCGTCGAAACCTGCGACAACTCGACCTCCGTTTCACACACTCCGAAGCCCGCGGTGGAGGCGTCAATGGCCGTCACGGTCGACGACCACGGCCTGTCGAGCTGGCTCCCCAGCAGCACTGAGACAGCAGAGAGGATCCACGTCTCGTAGCGGGAGGAACGCCAAAACCGATACGGCCTCATATCACGATCTCCGATGAAATCATAGAGCGCGCGGGGCACTGCCATGCCCGCACGGTTGAAGAGAGCAGCTGCCACGCAATGGCCCACAATCACCTCCACCTGCAGACACGTCACGACGGGGCCGCTCGCGAGCCACTGGAGGGCTCCACGGAGCAGCCACACCTTCTGCCCAGCCCGTCGGGCGACTAGGGGACGGCCCCCCACGTCAGCACCCAAGATGGTCGAGCGCGCGCAGGTGTCGGAGACCTCGTGCATGCTGAAGCCCCCCCCCCCGCAAAACGGGACACGATGCGGTCCCTCATCTCGGCGACCTCGCCCGCCCTCACCCCCAGCACGTTGATGTTGCCCGAGTAGGGCAGCTCTACCAGGCCAGAGCTCAGGGAAGGCAGCGGCCAAGCCCCAAGGGCCATCTTGTCGCCAGGGCCCGCCGGCCCGCGCAGAATCTCGAGATGGACACGCTGCACCAGCCAAAAACTCCAGCTCCATGCCATTGGTAGCACCACGAGGCAGGGATGCACCCCACCCCGCCCCACAACGCTCAGCCCAACGACGTCGCGGGCCAGGCCGAGCTCGAGCGCCACGTCCTCGGACACCGAGGGCAAGCAGAAGTATTTGCTCAGCGCCCCGATGGGACCGCACCGGTAGAAGCACGCCTCGATGTCAGCCGAGGCAGCGAACAGCTCCTAACCAGGCTCGAGTTCGATGGCACTCATGGCTTCGGCGCCCCCAATCTCGACGGTGGGAACATGACTAAACAAGGCGTTTGCGAGACAACAGCCCAGCACCAGCCTCTGCTTCCCGTTCTTCTTGGAGACAGAGAGCGGATTGACGAGGCTGCCCTTCTCCGACGCAACCCCCAAGAGACGCCGGCCCCTCGGGCGCCACAGGACATCCACATAAGCCTTCTTCTCCGCCCTCAAGGTAACGTCGAGGTAGGGGCGAGACGGCGCGCCCCTACCTCGACGTGTCCTGCTCCTCCTCATCCTGTTCATCCTCTTCCTCCTCCTACTCATCCACCTCCTCCTCCTCCTCATCATCATCATCATCCGTCTCCTCCTAATCCTCTTCCTCCTCCACCTCTTCCTCCTCATCCCCCTCCTCTTCTTCTTCTGAGTAAGCATATGGCTACCCTTTGTAGTAGTAGTCCCAGTGTTAATAGCATTCGAGTTCGTTTTACTATGATGAGTGCTAGTATTATTAGTGTGTGCATCAGCCGTAGCATTAGTAGTAGCAGTAGCGGCAGTAGTCGTATGAGTTGTAGTTATTGTACGTGGTAGTAGCAGGTTGGTTGGTGTTATTGTTCTTGATATTAGCCATGTGATAGCAATTGCCGTGTAAATATCACAAAATGGCTATTGTGATTGGTCCTACTACAACGAATGATAAAAATCAAATAACAACTAGCCCAATGACAATTACTAATACTACTACTACAACTACTACAACAACTACTACTACTACTACTACTACTACTACTACTACTACTACTACTACTACTACTACTACTACTACTACTACTACTACTACCTACTACTACTACTACTACTACTACTACTACTACTACTACTACTACTACTACTACTACTACTACTACTAACTACTACTACTACTACTACTACTACTACTACTACTACTACTACTACTACTACTACTACTACTACTACTACTACTACACTACTACTAACTACTACTACTACTACTACTACTACTACTACTACTACTACTACTACTACTACTACTACTACTACTACTACTACTACGACTACTACTACGACTACGACTACCACTACTACTGCTACTACTACTGCTACTACAACTACTGCTACGACTACTACTACTACTACCATCACCACCACCAACACCACCACCACTACTATTACGACTGCTATTATTACTTACTACTACTACGACGACGACTACGACTACGACGACGACTACGACTACGACTACGACAACGACTACGACACGACTACGACTACGACTACGACTATACGACTACGACTACGACTACGACTACGACTACGACTACGACGACACGACTACGACTACTACTACTACTACTACTACTACTACTACTACTACTACTACTACTACTACTACTACTACTACTACGACTACTGTTACTACTACTCCTGCTACTACTACTACTACTACTACGACTACTACTACTACTACTACTACTACTACTACTACTACGACTACGACTACGACTACGACTACTATACTACTACTACTACTACTACTACTACTACTACTACTACTACTACTACTACTACTACGACTACGACGACTACTACTACTACTACTACTACTACTACTACTACTACTACTACTACTACTACTACTACTACTACTAGTAGCACGGGTAGCATTAATACGTATACGCTTAATAGTGTTACTAATAGTATCACGAGTAGTGCGAGTGGTACTAATTAGTTGAACTCGTATGAGTAGCAGTAGTGGTGTTGCCAACCTGAATACTATGACTTGTAATCTGAGTAGTACTAATCCTACTAATTAAAAAATGCAAAAGAAACTAATAATGGTAACCATAATGTCCGTTGTTTTATTCGTGTGAGCAATCGTCGCATTCGTACGAATAGTGTTGGCAGTGCTCGTAGTGTTAGTCTCCTGATTCGTAATATTGTCCGATTCGTCTGAGTATGCATCATCTTCGTGTTAGTGTTCTTAATATGCGTCGTATGCGTCGTCTAACCCGTATTATTGGTATTAGTAGTACTCGTCGCCTTCTGATTCGTCATATTATTCATATTAGTAGTCCTCTTCCTCTTCCTCGTCCTCGTCATATTCCTCCTCCTCCTCTTCCTCCTCTCCTCCTCTTCCTCCTCCTACTCCTCATCATCCGCCTCCTCCTCCGCCCTGATCATCCTCCTCCTCCCCCTCCTCCTCCTCCTCCTCCGCCCTCCTCCTCCTCCTCATCCTCCTCCTCCTCCGCCCTCCTCCTCCCCCCCCTCCTCCGCCTCCTCCTCCTCGTTATCCTCCTCCTCCTCTTCCTCCTCATTATCATCCTCCTGTTCTTCCTCCTCCTCCGCCTCCTCATGATTATCTGTCGGATTAGTAGTACCATGTTTCGCCGTATTCTTAGTATTAATAGTAGTATGATTCGTATCAGTTTTGGTATTAGTCTGTGCTCTTGTTATTTTAGATTATTCATGTTTGTACGAGTATTATTCATACTCCTCCTCCTCCTCCTTCTCCCCCTCCTCCTCTTCCTCCTCCGCCTCCTCCTTCTCCTCTTCCGCCTCCTCCTCCTCCCAGGAGAGCCTCAAGAGGGGCCCAACAGGGGCCCAAGACGGCCGCAAGAGCACCTAAGAGCCATCCTTGAAGTTGCTGCAAATTTCCAGCTTCAGAATCACTAATGGTGAGGAAGACTCGGGCGAAACGCCTGGCCCGCCCTAGCGACACGTCTGCGGGCGCGACATGCAGGAGGAGGAAGAGGAGGAGGAGGAGGAGGAGGAGGAGGAGGACCAGGGC